ACCTTGATCCAAAGAAAATGTCCATCATGTACCCTAATCTGCAGCCGAAATGCTGGAGATGTGGACATTTGGATGCTACTTATTATCATACTTGGTGGACGTGTAAGCATATAAAAGCTTTTTGGATTAAGATATGGTGGAATATCCAAAGAATTTTTAAACGGAGGGTAAAATTTACTCCGCAATTATTTTTATTAGGTATTGTTACTGATTGTGATGCTAAGGAGGTTATATTGATGTTAAATTTGATTACAGCCGCTAGGCTGTTAATAGGGCAATATTGGAAGAAGGAATCCTTGCCTACTTTGCAAGAGTGGTTTCACAAAGTTTCGTATCTGGCAGAAATGGCAAAGATTTCGGCTTTTTTAAAGGAGCAATCTCAAGAGAAATTCTTTGCAGTATGGGAAAAATGGATAAATTTCATACAATACAATTTGGATATGGAAAAATATCATTTAGCTTTTTTATAACTTGTAATGATTGTTTTTTCTTTTTTTCTTTCTTCCTTTTCTCTTTATGTATTATTACTATATATATATATATATATATATATTTATATATATGTTCTATTTTTCGTCTACTTTTTTCTTTTTTCTTTCTCTCTCTCTTTTCTTTTCCCTTTTTTTTTCTCTCTTTCTTAGTATATATTATTCATTTTAAAGTTTATGTTATGCATATTATTATTACATATATTATTATATATATTATTATTATGACCTTTATCATTTTTATTAATTATCTTATAAATTGTAAACGTTATTTTTTAAAATTTGTTAAATAATCCTATATTCAGTTCTGGGAAGTCGGGGGGGAGGGGGGGTGGTTTGGGAGGGGGGGGATGTTTATTTGTAAAATTTTTGAAAAATTTCAATAAAAAAAAATGTTTATCTTTTAAAAAGTTTATAAATACTTTAAATATGTATGAGATTGTTATTAAAGCTTATGGTTAATGTACCCATTAACTAGTAATAATAATAGTAGTAACAACAGTAGATATAACTTCACTATTATATATTCTGAGCCAAAAAAATAGGATTTTTTCTTAATTATCTTATGGAAATTTTACTATTAACATTTCTCAAACATTTAAAATATTATTCAGTGACTATTATATAACAATAACAACAACAATAATAACAATAGAGTTGGAAGGGACCTTGGAGGTCTTCTAGTCCAATTCCCTGCTCAGGCAGGAAACCCTATACCATTTCAGACAAATGGTTGTCCAGTCTCTTCTTAAAAACTTCCAGTGTTGGAGCATTCACAATTTCTGGAGGCAGGTTTGTTCCACTGATTAATTGTTCTAACTGTCAGGAAATTTCTCCTTAATTCTAGGTTGCTTCTCTCTTTGGTTAGTTTCTATCCATTGCTTCTAGTCCTGCCTTCAGATGTTTTGGAGAATAGCTTGACTCCCTCTTCTTTGTGGCAACCCCTGAGATATTGGAACACTGCTATCATGTCCCCCCTCGTCCTTCTCTTCATTAAACTAGACATACCCAATTCCAGCAACTGTTCTTTATATCAGGGCTTTTCAACCAGTGGTACGGGTACCACCTGTGGTACATTGGCACCTGGCAGGTGGTATGCGACCATCCTAGAAAAGTGGTAGTGGGGAGGGGAATGAGCTGAACCGGTGGCAGCACCGCACAAGCCTGAGTGAGAGATGGCTGGAGCTGCAGGACTGTCAGGGCTCAGAGGAAGCACCAGGATCAGTGCCGCTTTCCAGCTGATCGGCGCTTCTTCGAGCTGTCACAGCTCAGTGGAAGCACCAGGATCAACACCAGCTGGAGCTCGGCGCTGATCCTGGTGCTTCTGCTGAGCCCAGAAGAAGCGCCGATCAGCTGGAATGTTGCAGCATCTCCAGGGTCTTGTGATTTACATTCAGATGCTTGGCAACTGATTCATATTTATGACGGTCACAGTGTCCCAGGGTCATGTGAAGTGACCAAAACCTGCTGGAACCACCCAGTAGATGGGTGGAATAAAAACCAAACACCTCCCACCCCACCCCTGCTGCCAATCCCCAACAGAAATGCTCACAACAATGAAAACCTCGGACAGGAGGAAGAGCGCTGCCGGGTGGGCAGGCAGGCGTCTTGCTCGGCTGTGGCTTGGGGGGGCACTTTTTTCAGTGCCATTGTAAATTCGATCAGTCATTAAGCGAACTGTTGTAAGTCAAGGACTACCTGTACTTTATCACTTTTTTCCTTTTTTTTTTGGGTCATCAAGTTTTTGACACCTTGCTAGGCAACTGGTGGTACTCGGATATTGCCATATCCTAAAAGTGGTACAATGGGTGAAAAGGTTGGAAAGCCCTGCTTCATATGTTTTAGCCTCCAGTCCCCTAATCATCTTTGTTGCTCTTCTCTGTACTCTTTCTAAAGTCTCAACATCTTTTTTACATCGTGGTGACCAAAACTCGATGCAGTATTCTAAGTATGGCCTTACCAAGGCTTCATAAAGTGGTATTAACACTTCACGTGATTTAGTTTTTTAAAATAGTGTCATGTAATGATATATAATAAAATGTGATTTCTATTAAAATATTGTAATATTCTATTAAAATATTACAGAACAAACATCCCATAGCTTTCAATTATCATTAATAGTTATATATAACTGATATTTATATAAAGTCTGATAAAAAAGAAAATACTGTAGCTATTTATGCTATTGCTAAAGTATGAAACTGAACTGGTCAGCAGAATAATTTGAGATTCCAGAATTTTGTTTACCAGAATAATCTTTGAAACCTAATTAACAGCCTCCCTAACTGTTATTATATTGATACACATAGGCCAATGCAAGATTCATAATCATTTTCTTACTGAATGCCATTTTTTTCCAATTTAATATCTTTATTTTTCTATATTATAAATTTGTGCACTGTTTTCTTAAGTGCAGCAACCCTTCTTTTGCTTCACCCGCCTTCAAGTAATCAATGTGCTGCTGAATGAGTTCATTTTAATGCATTCAATCATGCCTCTAATGTTTGTAGCTTACGGGTGCAAGCATCAGTAATGCAGGAATGTTATATGGCTTTAGTTTGGACCATTTCATAAAATATTCATGGAATCAAAAATGTGCATCAAAATAGCATCTAGGAGAATTACATTTATGTCCCTGCTTTTATGGCAGCTTCATGTTAAAACCCATTTGTGTTAATATCTACTCAATCTCTCTATTTAAAAATAGTACAAAATTATAGATATTTTGTGCATCTCTTTTTCATTAATATTTGCCTAAGATAGTTTTTATTTAATAAAAATAGAGACTTTGGAAACAGTTTTGTAGAAGAATAAATGTAAGGAAGAATTGTATTATGAAAACAGTAGATTATGCATATCCATTTATTCTTCCAAATCAACTAGAACTCCTTTTATCTTAGGATATCGTATCTCTGTAACCTGGCATAGGATATTATGGATAATATTGTCCAATTTCTTACTGTGGAATTTCTGTTCTTCTACATTTTAAATACTATGTGTTTATTTTGTCAATTAGATTGATCAAATGATAGATACTTTGTTAAAGATTACAGTGTACTATATTATAAAGAGTTATACTAGTATATCTCTGTACTTTAATAATTTATGTCCTCTAATAGCTCTTCTGGATTAGGATATTTAATCAGGGTGAATGGCTAGTTCAAGTTTAAATTTTGATTATCCTTTTTAATCCTCTAAAATAAAATATCTGATCAAGAGCAGATAGAATCACTTTATTTAGCACCTCCTGCTTCATGGCTGTATGAACATAGTAATTTATCAAAAATCACTGTTTTGGATTACTATGTACAATCATATTTCTTCCACAATGTAGATATTTTTATGTATTTCTCATACAATAATTTATTTAAACTACTTGACAAATTTCCTTACCCAAAAAACTATTTATGACTTTATTTTAAAGAGCAGCTTGCTTGGAATTTCTGTCAGACAGATAAAGCTGCCCATATTAAATTGATCCATTTAACATTCTACTTTTGATCCATTTAACATTCTACTTTTGAAGACATATTTTAGGAATAATATTACTTGTAGTAACTTGCCTCTCTCAAAGAAACTAGGCTTGACAAGGCTGGACAATGTTAATTTCACACACTATTAACGATTTGATCAGGGGTCCCCAACCTTTTTGACTGCACAGACCAGTTGCAGCATGTGACAGTAGGGGGAGGAGATGGGTTCATGCACTCAACATAATCCCCTGCATGTGCAAATGAAGCTTCGTGTACTCACCCACTCCTTGCACAGTTCTCGATGGGCTGTGGATTGGTATCAGTCCATGGCTCGGTCTGCAGCCTGGGGGTGAAAGGACAGGTATCCCATGTTCTATATTGCATTTGTCCTTGTTAGTAGATTTCTGGGTCATGGAACTGTAGAAAGGAATAACCTATGTGTTCCAATGCTATCTGTGTTGCATTCATGATTAAAGTTTTATATACTAGTGGTTATTGTATATGAGTTTAATGAAAAAATTATGCAAAATGGGAGAATATGAATTTAACAAACTTGATCAAAACAAAAAATAGGGCTGATGATTTAACAACGTGTAGACTGAATATGTTTTGGTCCTCTGTTGAGAGTTTTCATCCTGAAGCTCCATGTGTACAGCAGTTTATTATGTAACAATGTTTTTTAAAAATATTTCAATATGTTTGTGATGATCTACAGGTGTTCTTGATTTATGTATTGATGAAACTGAATGAATGGTATAACCTACTTAAACTACTTACACCATTTTCTTAAAGCTAAAATAAATAAAACATAGATGCTAAATCTAATCTGGCATTTTTGGAAATATTTCTTCATAATGTACCTATATAAAATACTACTTTCTATGATTTCTTTTTAAGTGTCTATGGACATTTTAAAAAAATTATGCTTCTTTGCTTTGGGGGGGAGGGGCTTCATAGCTTTATTACCATTATGATTGTTTAATCAATATATAACATTCTACCAAGGCTCCTTGATTAAGAGTTGTTTTGTATTCTTCAGGTCACTTCCTGAAAGCTGTAGAACATTATGAAGCATTTTATAACCTGACAGTGGGACGGACGTGGAAAGATGATACAGGCCGGAATTTCAACTCACTAGCCTGTGAGCATCTCTGGAGAATTTACACATTACTGGCAGACAAAATGCTAGCAAATAAAGAACATCAAGAAGCCATCAGAATTCTAACAAAAGCTTTAAAAATGGCAGAAGAAGGTGAGAAGGAAATAACATTTTTGCGTTGTCTTTCTTTCATATGTACTGTAAGGCTGAATTTTCTCATGAATGAAGTAAAACATAGAAAAAAGAAATCACCAAGTGCTTGATGATTATTTTCAATGAAATTCAAGACAACTGGTATAAATGTATTTCTAAATCTTATAAAACAGAAGTACCTACTTGCTGACACATAGGAATCCATTTATTTCAAGAAGGTTTTTAACTCGAAAAATGGAGTCATCCAGTACTACAACTTAAAAAATTGCATCCACAGTAAGAAATAAGGCCTCTGGCAATATCTATCATATAATAAACAAATAATACATGATTGATAATCAGTTTGTATCAGGTTAAAGATAGAAGGAAAACCGTGATCTCAGTGATAAAGAAAAACACTTATAATATTAAGCAAATTCTCTGAGTAATTTTTATCTCTATGAGATACAGCAACTCTATTTTATCACTCTGGGATAGTAGAACTTTGACACAATTATTATCCAAGCCCTACCCATTCATGGATGCATTAATGGTACACATATGTACAAAAGAACCAACATTTGGGTTGCAATGCAGATTCTGACATACACCTCTCTGGACATGTCTGGCACAGAGATAAATAGAAAGAGCTTGTTATGGAATCTCCTGGTGAACTTGAAGCACTTACTCTTCTGGTTTCCTCGCACACTGTTTGCCAGTGCCTACCAAGTGTTTTCTATTTCTATTTTCTATTACATTCCTTTACCTGCACCCATCACAAAAGTAAAATAAAACACTTGACATAATACTTTACATAATACTTTTTTCCATGTAGATAACATTAACATTTGTTAAGATGAGCTGAAATCAAAATATTCACAAAAAAATTCAGTTCTTTTTAATTTATTTTTAAGTCTAATTATAAAACAATGTTTGTTTCTATTTAGCAGAGAATATGAAGATGGAAGGAGAAACTGCTTTCTGTTTAGGCATAGCGTATTTTTCAGCTGGAGAATTACAGAAAGCTACATTAGTAAGTCTAAATGATGCATACTCTATTTTATGGTTGTAACATTAACTTGCTTATAGCAATTAAATTGAGATTTGAAGCATGCGTTGCAATAAGAAATACTCCTATTCAGAATTTTACTTTCTGCCATGCTGCCTTGATGAATATTGTTTCCTCATTATCTCTTGATTTTTGTGTGTCGCTCCATTTTCCTCCAACACCAAATAGTCCATTCGGTTGAAAATTCTCAGTTGTTATAAGATTTTTTTGGTGCTTCTCTTGCTGGATTTCATCACAGAATACATCATTTTTCTGTCTATATCAGTGTTTCTCAACTTTGACAATTTTAAGGCATGTGGACTTCAACTCCCAGAATTCCACAGACAGCATTGCTGTCTGTGGAATTCTGGGAGTTGAAGTCCACATGCCTTAAAATCGTCAAGGTTGAGAAACACTGGTCTATATAAACTGATTGACTACTTGGGGCAACAGATGTAGAAATACCAGTAGCATTCTGCACTTTTTTCTCTTTATGTTCTGTAAAGTATTGTTTTGTATGTCTCTACCTAGTGTCCTTTCTGCTATTTACATTGATACTCCCAGGCTTTTCATGACCTCCTTTCTCTTTTAGTTCAGTTTTCTTTCCCTTCTAATTGTAACCTGTGCAAGTCACCAAATTGCTCTCAATTACATAGGATAATACATTGATTAGAGGATCTTAACTATAGATAGAATTAAGCAATTTAGACTATCTTCACACGGTGTCATTTCCTAAATAAAAACTTAACTTTTTTTTTTCTCCCATGCTAGCATTATCACTTATAGAAACTGTATTCCTAACTTTATTTTTTTCCTCTCTATTTGTATGTTCTGCATTGTATAAAGCTATTTGCTGTTAATTTCCCTTTCAGTGGAGTCCATATTGGTTTCAAAATTTTGGCCTTGGTTTGCAATAGAATGTAATATGAAGTTTTCTTGAAGAACTGTGTCATAATAGTAGTTTTGCCTCCTGGCTAGACTTTATTAACCTGTTTCATTCCTATATCTGATATGCAGAGCATACATTTGCAAGTTTGCTTTTTTTTTTTTTACCATGAGGTAAGCTGCTTCTTTTCCTGGAAAAGAAAATGAAAATCTATAAAATAACTTGACTGAAGGAAAAATGTGTGACTTAGGAAATAGCCCATCCTATTTGTTCAACCTTTTTCAAATTTAGTTGGGAGATGTCAATTCTGGGATAGGATGCTCTCTAAAACAGCTAAAGATCATATAGGAAACCACATGGAGAATTTTCCTTTGTTCAAGATCAAAACAATCTGTTTATTTATTTAATTAATTATTTTAAAATATAGATTCCAGCCTTCAAAATTATAGAAAAATCTCATAATAATTTTATTAAGCCTCTAACCAACAGCCCAGACCACATATGTGCCATGCTGGACTTCTGCCTGACCACTACCTATTTTCAATACAGTGAAGGTTTCTACAGACAAAAACATGGCTGTGCCATGGGTTCACCTGGCCAATCATAGAAGAGGTAGAAACCAAAGCTCTAAACTCCTTCACAGGAATTCCACCCACTAATTGGTATAGATATGTGGACGATACTTGGGTCAACATCAAAACACAGGAATTGGAAGCATTCACCAAACATATCAACTCGATGGACAGATACATCAAATTCACACTTGAAGATGTTAAGGAAAATAATCTAGCCTGTGCTGTATACATTAAGGAAGACATTGAAATGTACAGAAAACCCGCTCACATGAATTAATATTTACATTCTCCAGCATGATTGGATGGAGAATCCACAAATGGGTTGTCTTAATCTTCCTGCTCCAATAAGACTAAGTCTGAAGTGTAGATACGCCTCCGCTGTGCTATAGCACCTCAGTTTTAGACTTAGTCTCTTTGCTCTACAGACACTTTTCTTCAGACAGCAAGAACAATATTGATCAATTAGTCTTAGAATTTATTCGTTTCTTCTTGCTTGGGAAGTTCCTACCTGGTCTTCCCTGCAGATTACTAACAGCTTCTTCTCTCTTAATCATCTTTGGAGACATCAGCTGCTCCCCTAACTGCTCTGCAGTCTACAGGCTTGCCCCTCCAGCCGATCTCGTCAGGCTCCTTGCGAGTCGACGAGGCTCTCTCTGGCACCATCGGTCCAGGGGGCCGCGGCACTGCCAGCCAGCTGATCGGCGGAGGCCCGCTTAATTAACTGGCAACTATCAGCAGCACCGACAGCCAGCTGATCGTCGGAGGCTGGTTGGCGGACGCCTCCTTAATCAACTGGAGACTTGCCGGCAAGCCGAATTCACAAAAAGCGCAGCGCGACAGCCAGCTGATCGTCAGAGCTCTAGCAATTCCAACGGAGGCTTCCCGACAGGTCAGGAATCTCTAAATGTGCCCTTGTGCCTTCTGAGGAGCTCAGGAGCTTCCTGCAGGAACCAGTGCTCGTTCGCAGAGGTCTCAGCTAGGCTGTTTCACAGTCTCAGAGACAGTTTGGCAGTTATTTTTGGCGCGCTTTAGTTGCGGCCATTTAGTTGCGGCTGCCATTTTGTTTCAGCCTTCATTTTGTTGCTGGCAGTTTTCGGTCTGGGGAGGGCAAGCTCGTCCCCACAAGGATGCACTGCCTATTCGGTTGACCCCACCCCCCCTTGTCTAGGTACTAATCATCATCTGGTTGGGTTCTTCAGTGGTTATTCGCAGCGCTTGAGGGGGGGCGCTTCACCACTGAATTGATCCCTCAGAGGCCTGTTATCACAGTCATTTGACCAGTAGTTAGTGGAAGTTTCACAGTTTCCTTTATTTAAGAAAAAAAAGAGGAAGGAAAGGATTTCCAATAGTTATGGCAGATAATTCCTTTCCCTCATCCTTACAGGACACCACCGAGCCCCCGCCAAAAAGAAACACAAGGCCTCTACTGAGGCGGTGGAGAAGAACACATTGAAGGTCAGGGCACAGTCCTCCAAGAGACCTAGGACAAGTAACAGAGAGACTACTAGTCATCATCAAACCTTGGAGGAGGACTCCTCCAGGGCAAGGTCAATTACCACTACACCTGGAGGATCCATATTTGAACCCTTGTCTGCCCACTGTAATTTAGCCCCAGGGGCCTGGTCCCCACCTAGGGAAGTGGCGCAGACTGAACCTATCGTGTCAGGGCTGAATTTAGGAACACAAGGGGCTACTGCTCAAGGCATATCTGGGCCTCAGACCACCTTTACGCCTACTGCAGCAGGACTTCGCCCCCCCAAATCTCAGTCGTTAGGGCCTGAGCATTTTCAGGCTATGATAGCTCAGGCCTTTGCCCAGTTCATGGCCTCCCAACATCCTCCTCAAGTTCCTGCAGCACCTCCATGGTCTCTTCTTTGCCCTGACTCGCCAGACCTCACAGAGGATGTCTCCTCAGAATCGGAATCTGCAGACTACGACACTTCAGGCCTGATCCTGTCGGATGACGAGGGTAACTCAACATCAGATCCGGCTCCTCCTGCTGGTTTTTTTGACCATTCCCTTTTCAACTCCTTACTTCTCAAGGCCTGTACCACGGCCAATATCACTCTGGAACAGGAGACCCCAGCTCCTTCTACATCAAAGGGCCCCAATCCACTCTATGCTGAACCGGTGGTACCACAAAGCATGTCCCTTGCCCCTGTTCTTCCACAACACAGTGCAGAAGCAGTGGGATAACCTGGGTTCTATCCCCAATCTGGGATCTGCAGAGAAAAATTTGTTCAATGTGGCTCATTCCTTCACCTCCTTGTTGGAGGTTCCTCAAATTGACAAGCCTCTGAATTCTCTGTTTTCCAATGCAAATATCCCAGGGGACATAACCGAGGCGCTTAAGGCAGAGGACAAAAAGATTGAAGCTGCCTTGCGCAGATTGCATCAGGCATTGGCCTGGGCAGTCAAGGCCTCCACATCCATGGAAACTATAAATTAACAATGTCAACTTCATACAAAGAAAATTTGTATAAAATGTTTTATAGATGGCACCGTCCACCAGCAAGATTAGCAAATATAGGCAAGTATTACCATATTTGGTGGACATGTGGGAAGGCAAAGGCCTATTGGAAAAGCATACATATATGGTTAGAAAAAATATTGGGTGAACAAGTGGATTTTAAACCTGAACTTTTTTTTACTAGGCATTATGTCTGAAAAGATTAATGAGCAGAAATTATATTTAATTCTACATATTACCACAGCAGCAAGAATAATTTTTGCACAGTACTGGAAAAATGAAGGATTGCCATCAGAAGAAGAAATAATCACGAAAATATTAGAATGTGCAGAGATGGACAGACTAACTATGAGGCTGAAAGACAAAAGATACGGACTATTATAAAATTTGGAATTTATTCTATTCTTGGTTAGAGAAAAGAATGAAGGATAGGAAGTGAACGTGTATTAGCTTAGCAAACACCAGACAACTTGTTTGATTGGAAAAATTAATATATGTTGATGAAAAAAAATTAATAAAAAAAAGATGGTTAAAGGCGTCCACATCCATGGCCTTCTTCACTCAGGCTTCAGTACTGTGGCTGCGTGAACTCCAGGACCTGATTCCTCCTGACCAGGTTCGAGTTCACCAAAACCTGGATAAGTTGATGGCTACATCCCAGTACATGGTTGACTCCTCCCTACATGCCGCCAGATACACTTCACGGGCCATAGTGGCAGACATTTCAGCCCGCAGACTTCTGTGGCTTAAGAACTGGTGGGCAGACCTCAAAGCAAAGTGATGCCTCGCTACCAAACCTTATGCGGGGGAGGCATCTCTTTGGTGCGGCCCTGGATCCTTACCTGGTAGAAGGCAAGGACAAGCACAAGACCCTCATTAACACCACTAAGAAGGGAGATAAGCGCTCAGCTGGGTCATCACAGAACTACTATCGTAGGCAGTCCTTTTGGCCGTCCTCAAACTGGGACTGGGGCCAGGCGGCTCGTCCCTTCTACCAAATGCCGGAGCGCCAGCAGGACTGTTCCGCATCCAGATCCTGTCCACAAGTCCAGGG